AAACTACAACTTGCACTCCCTGTGCTAGATGCCGGAAATCCTTGGTGAAGCGGCCGTGGGCTTGGATGACGCAGTTGGTAAGTCGCAAGCATGTGCTCGCTGGGGGGCGGAGTGCAAGTGCCTCGAGAGAAAAGGACCATCATGGGACAGGTTGTTTCCTGCTCGATCATGAGCGACTTGGGCGAGGAGTATCTCTGGCAGCCAGGGGTCTCTAAAGCGCGTGTGCATTGTCGGTTGCTTGCGAAAAAGGGTTTGCACAAGGAAGTGCATACATGTTCGAGCAGCATCACACCGTCCTTTGCACTGAAGCGGCATCCACTTCGTGTATTGCGAGGGTGGATAGAAGCAATGCATCGTTCCGACCACTGCTCTCGTCTGACGATGAGGGCTGTGCAAAATCTGCAGGTTGCTACTCGTTTTCCTTCCCAGACATGCCTCGACTGGGCTACAGCAACATCTTGGACGCCTCAGGCAAAACACAGCAAAGGTCAACGTGTGGCTTGAATGAGGCTCGCTTTCGCCCATTTGCGGTAGGGAAGACTTTGCAAGTCAGGAGCACCAGGAGAGCCACAAGCTGCCCAGCTGCCTGTGCATCCCGAAGCCTGATTCCATGATTCCACCTTAGCCCGGAATCTGCACGATCATGGCTAAGTAGCTAAGCTAAGCGGCTAAGTCGTTTAGTTCCGAAGGGGGAACTTTCAACTTGCATGCTCTGCCGATGAGAGGTTTTGATTGATTTTAAGCCTCTATAGAACTTCAGTGTAGGGTTAGTTTTTGCGGTGAGGCTTGTTCAATGCCCCTGCAGCTCGCTTCCTGCTTGCGGTTCTTAAGCTCTAGGATTCGTCCCGTGCGGTGATTGATGCCACAAGACTGCCTAGGTACTAGCTGAGGATTTGGCCTAGCCCAGTGGGAAGACAGCAGGGCTCGGATGGTGTCTCCTCATTGCCAGAGGTCCCAGCGAACGTGTTTTACGGTGTTTGTCCAGATTGGGAACTGCCTGTCCTGCTACCTATCACTACCAAAGCACGTCGATATCACACAGCTTCATCGAGGGTGCAGCCTACTTGTGTCTGCAAGTGTAGCAAGATGCAGTGCTATTACGCCGCGCAGTGTGCCGAGCGAGCCCACGCTGCACTGGCGATGATATCTTTTGCCCCTATGCAGCGTATCACGGAAACGCACGGTGGAGCTTGGATCAAGCGAGGGCGGTTGGCAATGCTGTCCGCATTTTCGCGTGTCAGCATGAGTCAGAGAGAAGCTGCTTCTGCCGGCTTGCTTTTGAAGTTCTAGTCGTTGCTGAAGTGAACTGGGCAAAGTTGGCAAAGACGAACTGTAGCAGGAGCTGAGGGGCTGGCGTACCGAGCTTGGCCATTGCGATGCTAGGCTGTCTCACCTTGTCTCACCTTGGAGGGTGTGAGACACGGGAGACACGGGAGACACGGCAGACACGGGAGACACGGGAGGCTTTGCCTTTGGCCCAGGGCTTCAGCGAGCGTTTCAGCGGCGCTTGCGTGCAAGTACCTTAGCTTGGCTTCGCCTTCGCCTCAAAGGGCTGCCTCTTCAACTCCTTCGGGCTTGGTTTCTTCGATTGCTCCGTGGTGGCCCAAGCCTGGGCCCAAGCCTGGGCCCAAGCCTGGGCCAACGCAAGAGATCTGGACACTTTGCTCACTTTCTTCAACTTGGCCACATGCCGATGTGTCCCACTTTCTGAAGCATTCCGAAGAGGCAGCACATCGAGCACATCCGGGCCTTTGCCAAAGAAAGGGAAAATGAGATGAGTTTCCTGCGTTTACCCGAGCGGTACAGAGCTTAGGCAGCTTAGGTTACAGGACTATAAGCTTGTGTCATTCATTCTTGCCGTTGTCGAGGACCCTCACATGCTTTCCCGAATATGTAGCAGAAGGGTTCCCGTTTCAAGAGTATCTCAGTTTCGGGTTGGAGAGGTGACGAAAATCGGTGCCGCGCAGGTCCACGAAACGTTCGCGAATTGATCGCGAGCGTTCGCAAGTGTTCGCGCGAGTGTCGCTCGTCGGCTTTAGTTGCAGAAGCCTGCCTTTTGGCATCGCGTCGGTGCGCCGTGCGGCGGCTCTTACTGTAGCTCTTTGTGTTGTGGCACGGTTTCCGTGCATCCCCGGCTGTAGATGCGCAAGCTGCGTTTTGGCATGGTTTTCATGCATCGCGTGAACACTCGCGAGTGTCGCACGAAAGGGATGCGGAAGCCTGCGTAGCGTCTTTCCATGTGTGTGTGTGTGTGTGTGTGTGTGTGTGTGTGTGTGTGTGTGTGTGTGTGTGTGCGTGCACGTCAGCGTGACGAGTGCAGATGCTACCATATGTACCGGCGCAAAGGGTGCTCAACGAGTGCAGGTATTAGTCTAGGCACGTCAGGACTTTGTATACAGCTCAAAAAGTGATGATATCAGCGTCTGGCGTCGATATCAAAACAGAGCGACCTTGTTTTTGCGAGTTCAGAGAACGGCGTCATGTGGGGCGCGTGTGTTCTCTAAGTGCCTTGTGTTTGCATTCGGGTCCGCCAGGCCAGGCAGGAAAACTAGTGCAGTGGTGCAGTGGGGCCTTATGTCTTTCGTCCGCAGGGAACAGGTCATGCACGGTAGCCTTGAAGGTCACTCACCTGAAGTTGTTGTTCCGTGGTTCTTGTCGACCTGCAACACCCTTGTAGTTCTGCAGTCGTTCCAGTAAAGGCAACCGCTGGAGAGCTGAAGTGCACTACACATGCACCCTGAAGACTCTGAAGAATCTGGGGTCTCAGGAAGCCGTCTCACTGCCACATCTGTGTCTTGGCTCATACCTTGATGCTCGCATTGAGACTTCTCGCGGATTGACTGTCGCGGTGTGACCTACCCTCTTGCACCGTAGACGTCGAAACATTCCTCACCCCCCCCCCCCCCCCCCCCCCCCGATGTGAAGGATCCTGCTAAGAGCATGCCTCCACTCATCGAGCAGCAAGTTCATCTCTGCACCTGCAGCTCAAGACATGTCAGAGCTTGATGGAGTCGGAAAGAAAACGGCGCAAAGCCGGGAAGGCACCAGGACGTTCTGCAGCGCGCTCAGAGGCAAGCTTTGACAACAAGTCCTGGTTCTGGTGCATGGTGTGCAAAGGACCGGGTGCTGGCAAAAGACCCTCAGGACACTGGGAAAGTAAGCAAAAAACAAGCGAAGACAATAAGACCCGAGAACAAGCAGGGGCCCCAGCATCCGGGCACCGTCCTTTCGCTTTGTGCTTCGCAGCTGTTGGCTGGCTCCCCGTCAGGGGGAAGCGTGCATGGAAGCCGCCGAAAGAATACAGCGGAGCAAAGGCCGGACTTCAGAAAGAGGACAAACGTCGCGGCAATCGATCTGGTAGTAGTCTGTGTAGATTCTTGACCGATCGCTGCCGCAAAGATTGCCCCTTCGGTCTGGGCCTGAGGTGCGCAATGTTCCATTTAGCGATGCCGAGAATGCGAAGATCATAAACGGGACGGGAACTTGGCCAGCCTTTGTGTGCCACACATCATGCTGCATTTCGGCTTCAAGTTGCGCCTAAGGGCTGCGTGTTGCACTTCATGTGGTGCAGAGCTCTGGCCTTCTGCTGAGGATTCGAGCTTATTGCGAGGAGGAGGGTCTGGATTATGCTGAAGCGTCGCGTGCTGAGACCACGTGGGGCTGGCATGGAGCTGGAGCATCTCGCCGAGCTAGGTGAGTTTGGTCTTACTTTGAAAGATAGGGAAAGCTGTGAGATGTGAGATATTGATTGTATCATGATTGCATCATAGGAAGAGCGTGCGTGGGGCAGGGGGGGGGACGCAACATCGATGCTTTCGCAGGAAAGTGCTGCCTTGGTGTGCGGGGCAGGGGGGGGTCAAGATTGATTGTTTCAAGGGATGTGCTGCTTTGGGGGAGAAGTGGGCTCAGTACGACATGTCTGTGTCAGTGACGCGCGTTCGCTTGTGTCTGTCCTTGTGTCGTATGGTTGTCATCATCATCCGCAGAGGTTGCGCCATCCGCAGATCATCCCAATCGTCACAGATGCCCACGTGCTTCCACCTCCGCCTCCGATTTTGTCTCCCGCACACCTGCACACAGCATCTCCTTGCGCCTGTCTCGGCTTCGGCTGTCGTTTCCCCGTGGCTTGCCCCCCAAGCGAGCACATGCAGTTCCACGTGTTGTGGCTCTAGGACACTTCCAGCTCTGTGCAGGTGCAAGACTCTTCACAAGGAGAAGAGAAGCTGCAGACTCAGTTCGCTTTCCAAATCATAGGTACTCCTGATGACCCTTAAGGTGGTGCCTGGGGTCGCATTGCCTTCTTTGCGGATCTGCCGCGCCGCTCCGTGGGGAACTTGGAGACTTCGACAGTGTTGGAGAGTTTTCAACTTTTCAGTGCTTTGCTCAGACCTGGGCCACCGTTCAGAGGGCCAAGAGGACTGTGTGGAACGGCTGGGAGTGAAGTATGGGACTCTTTGCAAGCAAAAGCATCCAAAGTGTCCGCTCCGAGAGGATCCTTTGGGGTCCTCACAGGCACGACGCTTCGACTGCTTTTAGTGGTTTTAGTGCGCGGTGTACTGGCACGGAGACATCTCCACCTCGACCTCGGCAGGTGGACGCAGCAGGAGTGCCAGATTCTTCTGGACGAGGCCGACTGCTGGTTGACTGCTCTCATTGCCAGTGGATGTTCCCGCCTCTGCCCAGTGCTGCTCCATGCTTTGGCCAGGAGCACACACGCAGTTGCTGCAGTGTTGCTACAGTAGTTGCTGTCCGGCGATTTCCCCTGAAGGCGTGCGCTACAAAGAAACCGAGGCCGTTGGATGATGCTTGGTGGGGTGCATGAACTTACGTGGTGCAGATGTCAACAAGAGTTGCTGCTTGAAAAGGACCCTGATGCGTTAGGGTTTTTGTGGCCCCCAAGTCGTTGCTATCTTCGAGAGATTGTCGCTTGACAGTTGGACCAGCATCTCGAACATGCTCGGAGTCCTTCACTGAGATGGTTCATCCCACCCCTCTAAGGGATGTCGTGCTGCAATGCTAGAAAGGTCAACCCGAATACCGTGCGCGACAAGTGGCGGGAGCTGTGCTACGGTGAGAAACGGCGTGGGAAGTTTTCGCAAGCGGAGGACCGGTACAGAAGCCACCAGCATTGGCATGGGGTTTAGGGTTTAGGGTTTAGGGCGTAGGGTTTAGGGTTTAGGGTTTAGGGTTCAGGGTTCAGGGTTCAGGGTGCAGGCTAGAAGCAGCCCAAACGAGGTCACGGGGGGCATGCCAGGACTGGAGGATGCGCATGGCCATCTGCCACACAACCAACAGAGCCGGTCTCAGTGTCGAAAGGTGGCAGCGCGTTCTGCTTACGCGCAATGCCGGTGTGACTTGTCGCCTAGCAGAATCACTGAAGATGTCAGTTGCACTGGGCCAGTGAAGCCTTGAGGGGTCTTCACTTCGCCACTTCGTCTATGTTATGTCTCCGGAAGTTTGCATGTTGGTTTTCAGGCTTGCTCCCGACAAAAGACATACCCTGGACAAAGGTGCAGAACCAAGTTTGGAAGTAAACGTGCGTAGTTTGCCACTGAGAGCAGTGTCTGACAGTGATTCAAGCCGGAAGTTGTGAGGTTCAGAAATGGATGCCACACCGGGGTTACAAGATGTCCCGCCCTCCAATGAGATTTGCTGCGAGCCACGAGTTCGATAGAGTCCCCACTTCAAGGTTGATGAAACGCTGGTACAACGACCTCATGCCACGCTTGACCGCCTACAAGGCCTTCTTGGCTTGGCAGTTCTACTTGCGTTTTTTGCGTGGGTGCCGGCCATCTCCCGACTTCAGGACAAGTATGGGATGCCTGTTGAGCCAGATGTCTTCGTGCGACACCTCCTGATCTGGGCTGAGCCACGACGTGTCGCCTTCAAAAGCTAGGTTGCTAGGAAAGCCGAGTTGCAACTTGTATTCCGAGGCGTAAGCTTCGAAAGGAGGACTATGACGATCCGAGGGCAAGGGGCTCAAGGGACCCAGTCTGCAGTCTTGACCCGTGGCCTTGTGCATCGGTCTCCTATGCAGAAGCGCAGTCTGCATCCGTGGGGAGCCCAGGAAGTGGAGTGGACCCATGTCGGTTTCCCAGCTGGGGATTGTGGTGCCGACTGTGCTGTGACCAGAAACTTAGAACTTGGGATGTTCCCACTTATGCTAACAGTCCTTAATGGGGATGATAGTACCTCCTAGTATCATCCCTACTAAGGACAGTCAGTATAAGGGGGAACATCCCAACTTAGAACACAGGTGAACACATGGTGGTCGGCCGGCATGAATCGCACGAAGTGGCGGCAGCTCTCCTCACGAGCCGACGGCTCAAGAACCTCAGAGTTTGTCCTCAGTTACCATTTTGTTCCAGTACGTTCCACTATGTTCCACTATGTTTCAATGTGTTCGTTCCATTGTGTTCCATTATGTTCCACCATGTTCCATTATGTTCCACTCTTTTGTTCCTCGTGCGCTGAAGGTTCCTGACGAGCTTCGGTTCGCCGGCATGCAGCAACAGGTTCAGTGGTGGTACGAGGTCAACCAGTGCAAGTCTCATCGGAAGCGGGACAAGAAACTGCTCGCGGCTGAGATCTTGCGCAAGGCCTTTTTGCTTGGACCAGCTGTTCTGACTCCCTTTCTGACTCTGGGACCGCCTCGGGGCATCCAGAGGCTCAAGACCATCGTCTCGGCAGAGGAGGCGGAGGCATCCTCTTGAAGATAGGTTTTTGGGTATGCAAATGCCATGAGCAGCTGTCCAGGCCATGGAGGAGGAGCGATAGCCGCTAGCCCGGTGCACCAGCTCTGGGCTTTGTCGTGCCAGTTCCAAGTCCTGCATGATGCAATGCCTGAGGCCACAGTGGATGCCAAAGAAAGCGCCCGTCGGAGGAGCCTATCGCCTTGAGGATTCACGAGTCGCATTGTACAGTGAGTTTCGGGGACCTGAGTCGCAGCTCGATGAATCTGATTTAGCCTGCGCCCGTGTCTTTGCAGGGGGTTTGCTCGCAAAATCGGACGATTCCTCGAGCTTTCCCTTGAGCTGCTAGCTTTGTGCTGCGCCACTTCTAGATCTGAAGGCATGTGGGCGCGCGTGCAGTGCAACCATTGCTGGGGCAGAGTCAGGGCAGACATCAATAGCAGGTGACAAAAGGTTCAGGCATGGTTGTATCGTCTTGTGCAATGTCCATACCCTGTTGTGCACGAATTCGACAGGCGCCGACTCAAGACTCAGCTCAGTGTAGGTCAAGAGCCCATAGCCACCACAGCTCTGCCGTAGGTGGCGCCCGAAGGTGCAGGAAGAAACTTGTGTTGGTCTACGTACCTTTTTCTTGGTGGTTCAGCAGGCATGCTCACGGAAGCCTTATGTCTTCGTAGGGGCATCCTGGGGGCCCGCAAATGCTTTCAAGTTAGGTAGCCAACCTTGACTAGTTCGTGCCTGTTGACTCCAGAAATGCAGAAGCCCTGTTTCTCCTCGCTCCTCGACAGCTCCCTTGACTCCTTAACCTTCAGCATTGCGAGATGTCGTGTTTCCTTTCTGTGTGATGGAGCCGGGCGTGGACGGATGAGCATTCGGACAGCCGCCGGGAGCCTTGAGAAAGTCCTTGGCGCCCAGCAAAGAAGGCTAGGTGGGCGAAGTGAGCGCTTGAGTTCTGCCGCCGGAGGCCTCTTGGCACCGCCTGAGTGGCCGCTCTGCGAAAGCACAGCGGAAGTTACATCTGAAATTCATGTGAAGATACTTTGATCTGGCTGTTAGAAGCTGTTAGACATAGAATGTTTGGAGCCTCCTCTGCCAGGTTGGGCATGCAGATTGCCTCAGTGCCTTGGAGTCCGTCGTCGCTTCATTCGCCATGGCCTTGGTGGTCGTGTCCAGGTCGTCAAGGTCTGGGGTGAAAGTGCGCAGCTTAGGAACCGGGTTCTTCACAGATGATGCGGATTTCCTCGATCCGGAGGCCCTGAAACACACGGATCAAAAGAGCCCCAGCTCCTCACAAGCTTGGCATGTTCCTCGAAGGCGCCGGTTATTGCCGATCGTGTCAATGAGTGCTCCCATCAGTTGGTGGCCGTTTGCAGAACTCCGTGCGAAATGCAGTGCTGGATGTGACTGTTGGTTTGCTGTTGGCTGATGACTGAGGCGCTGGCGGTACATGGACGATCCTGCATTGCAGGCGAACATCCTCGAGTGGCAGAACCCAGCCTCTCTGCCCTTGTGCAGACTTTCCTACTTCCCTCTCATGCTGTTCGTACCTGTTGAAGTTCAGTGGCTTCAAGGCGCAGCAATGTCGGAATGGGCATGTTGGTGCTCAACCGCGCTGCTCAGCCGACAGAGAACTCACGAAAACTCTGTGTGCACTCCCTGGGACACTCTGCACCCCCCCTCCACCCCCAAAAGGCAGAAGGCCTCGATCTTCCGAGCGTGAACGAGCTGTACAAGTCCCTTCCTCGGCGCCTGACGTGGTTCAACGGTTCAACGTGGTTCATCGCGTGGTTTCTCGCTAGACTTCCTAGACGATGAGGGACGGCTCTGCAAGCTGAGCATGGTCTGGAGCTTTCTGAGGCGCCTGAGAAATCTGGAGGTTAACAGCCTCAAGCGCTTTGTTGGACTTACAGCTGCTCAGCTGTGGCCTTGGCACCTTTCTCGGGTTGGATCTTCGTCTCTTCGCCGTCGTCAATCTCAGGGAGTTCCGCAGCAAAGCAGATGCTGCCAGAGACGAGTCTGGCTCCAAGAGACCCTCTGCCACATCTGCCACATCTGCATCGCTTTTGACTCATCTTGGGAGTGGCAAGGGGTGCCCCAAAAAGCACGGCACTGAGAGAGGAGCTTCCAGAGTTCGCTGGAGAAAGAGGAGAAGCAAAGCCCCTTTGCCACTGGCCGGTTTTGTATCGGCCAAGACCTTGGGTCTGGGTTTGTTGTTCTCGGTGTCTTCCGTGTGGTGCGTTGTCTGTGGCCCTAGGTCTGGATCCCAAGGAGCTGCTTCTGGCTGCTGTTTATGTTCAGACCTGAGTTGTGCTACATGGTTGTCGGATCTGCTTGGGGGATCTCGTCTGGCAATGTCAGAGTCAAGGCGCAGAAGCACGGCGACCTGGCTCCCTTTTCAAAGGCCCTGCTGTGGAACAGCCAGGTGCCCCCCTGCCCGTGCTGCATGGCTTCATGGGTGGTGTGCCTTTGTGATTGTCCATAGGCTTCAAGCATATGGCAGATGGGTTCCTTGCTTCCTTTCTACTGGCAAGGAGCTGGCATACCTGGCAGCTGACTATCGAAAGCGGCGGCCCCGTTTTTTGTTGCGCGGTTTGTTCAACTGCTTTGTACTCCAGCAATGGGACCGATTTGGAAGGCCTCTAGTGTGCCACCTCAGCGGAGCAGCATGGGATGGTGGTGCAGCGCCTTGGCTGCCTTGGCCGATACGCCGATACATTGTGATGCGTTCTTACACCGTTTTTGGTATGCCACCTTCTCGGTGCAGTGAGGCATTGGCTGGACTGTCAAGCTTTTCTGGTGCACACCACACATCCGAAATCTCTGCGCTGAAGCTCAGAGAGCCCTCAGATTTCTTGGGGCATTTCAGCGTTCTTGGCCGCCTGCTCGATAGGTTTTGCCATTTGCTGTGGAGACTGTCGAGGTCCGTTCTTGCTTCCAGGGCCTCGTGCCAATGGGAGGCCGCACGTGGTATCTGTTGTGCATCCGTGCTGCCTCCTTGCCTGTCTTGTTTAAGCGCTTGGGAGCCCTGTGCTGTGTGTTCGTGAACCAAAGGGCCAGCAAGGCATGAGGAAGGCTAGACAAAGCTATCCGCCGTGCAGGCATGACTGCGCTGCGGCGAGCTTGGCTTGTGCACCTTACGTCTCAAGTCACGTCAGTCCTTGCCCGCGCATCCCGAAAGTTCTTCTAAGACATGAGGCTTGCATCTTTGAAATGGCACCTGGGAGAGTTCCTTGCCCTGACTGGTTGGCCGGGCTCCTACTCCTTGCAGCTTGAGCCCGTAATCAAGGGGAGAGTGCAGCCAGGACCCTCCGTGGGTCTGACTTGGTCGCCCTGGGACTGATAAGGCCGGGCATGTTTCTTCTTTTCTTCCCATTGTCTTTTCCCCCAAAATGGGGACTTACGAAAAGAAGGGGCCTCAAATATCGACCCCCATATCCCCAAAAATAAGGTACCCCCCTTTGTCTCGCGTAAACCCCCCTTAAATGACCATGAAATATTTCGTCCAAGGCACTGGATGTCGCCAGATGCCCTGCCCTTCCTGGAGCTGACGGCCGAGAAGCAGCTGGAGGCGGCGGGTTTAGGGCTTAAGGTTTAGGCTTAAGGGTTTAGGGTTTAGGGTCTAGGGTTTAGGGTTTACGGTTTAGGGTTTAGGGTTCGGCATGTCAAGTCCAAGCATTCACTAGTCAAGCAGCTTGGCAAGCGTTGGAAAAATACCCACCCACCCAAGAATCCCATAACGTTAAGAAAGTAAACTCTCAACCCTGTGCCCCAAACCGTTGGGCTCTAAACCCTATGCCCCAAATTTTAGAGACCCTAAGCCCTACGCCCCAAACCCTAGAGCCTTAAACCCTATGCCCCCAGGCCCGGGCTGGAAAAAAAACATTTGCCGACGACGTGCGTCAGGGCTTAGGGCCCACGGAAAAAAAACCACCATTTGCCGACGAAGGGTGTCAGGGTTTAGGGCCCACGGGGGGAAGAAAACCATTTGCCGACGAAGGGTGTCAGGGTTTAGGGCCCCCCGGGGGGAAGAAAACCATTTGCCGAAGGGTGTCAGGATTCAGGCCCCCCGGGGGGGAAAAACCATATGCCGACGAAGGGTGTCAGGGTTTAGGGCCCCCTCGGGGTGAAAAAACCATTTGCCGACGAAGGGTGGTTTAGGAGAAAACCACATGCCGGTAAGAGAGGGTTTAGGGTTTAGGGTTTTTTGCTGTTGCTTCCTGACTGGAGCTCTCTTCGTCCGGTGCTGTCAATTCAAGCACCATTCAAGTAAGTTTTCGTCTGTCATGCAAAGAATTTCTTCATTCCTGGAAGTATATTCGGTTTCTGCTCCTGGCTTGTCTGCATACTTTGCGAGACGGGAATTCTGTTGGGTTTTATGCACCAATTAATTTCTCCAGATTTTGTTAACTCGGTGAGGCTACTTTATGATTTCTTAGTTAAGGAGTTGCTTTGACACCGTTGTTTCTCGACTTGCTCGTTGCCAGGTCTCTGAGAGTGACGCTGCCCTGCTCCTTACCGAGCACTCGTTGCCTCTGCCCGAGGTGGGTCCAGGTCGCATTGATGCCGGGCAAGCTGCGTAGTGCGGGCTGTTGCTAGGACACTAGCCTTCTCTCCGACGACCCATATGCGCCGGGATTCAAGCGAAGGCCGCGATGTGGACTCGAGCGACCCGTATACATCTGCATGCCCCGTAACCGCACCCCTTGTTCAGGGGTAATTACACATAGGTCGTTCCAGGTAGCTCTGCGTGTGCACCAACTTGCCACTTGCCAGTTACATTCCGCTGATCGCAGAGATCTTCAGCAAGGAAAGTCTGCCCAAAATCGTGGAGGCAGGTGCTCAACGGCACATGATGGGACATGATAGGGGACGTAACCGGACCATGCCGCACCTGGCCCAAATCATGCAGGCGCTCGATCATAGGATCAACAATCCTGAAACCTCACACATGGACGGCGAGTTCTTGGAGGCAGGCCTTCAAGTGGCTTTTTTCGGAATTCACCCAAGCCATGCTTCAGGTTTGCAAGGACAGACTCAGCCAAGTGGACAAGCGAGCCGCCTGGATGACGCTTCATACTTAGTCACCTAGTCTCGAACCGCAGTACCATGGACAAACGTATTGACTTTGGGATAGCTGAGTGCCCTATAGTGAGGCAAACCCTCATCCGAAGAGTCCGCGTGTCCGCCAGCGAGCAGCCTGCTACATCAGGAAGGAAGCCTGGCATGGAATTAGGGTCTTCTTTTGGGTAGTGCCGGACGTTCCTCTTACGATGCTGGTGTGGGCTGCAGCTACAGGATGTTCTGTTGCTCCCGAAGACACGAGGGGCAGAGAGGCACTGGCACGGGCAGACTGAGGCTCAATTCCTCTGTCCTTCTCGAAGCGCTGAGGCAAGGACCCCAACAGAATAGAATCAAGAATCGGATGAAGAATAGAATGAAGAATCGAATGAGGAGTAGAATGAAGGACGGAGTGAAGAAGGAGGGCTTTGGCATCACAGGACATCACGGGTTTCTCGGCTTGCCCAGGGCCGAGCTCTGGGCCGAGACACAGCTCTTGACTCGGCAGGAGAGTTGGCGCTTTGGGAGGGGGAAAGCAGGGATGGGAAGGGGCTGCTTTCCCAAACTCAGCTTGGGAGATCCGGCAGGAGACCATCTGGGGCCTTCATGCGGCATGCACAGGGACAACCTACAGGCCAGGAGTTCTCGGTGGTCGCCTAGCACCCAGCCCTTGCGGCCGCAGGTTTGGTGACGAGGAGGTCCTGGTCGGGGAGGTCGACGAGGCCCGATAAGGGACATCAAGGCGCTTCAGAGGGGGTCAGGATGTGAGTCATCAGAGCAGGCGTCGACGCCGCCGAAGGACGGGATGCTTTAAAATGCCGGACGTGTCTAGGCATGGGCCTAGGGGGGGCCTCGGCAGGACTTCGTGTTCAGCATCCCTGAGAGACCCGAGATGCCTCTTTCTCAACATCCGCGCTTGAGGCGCGCTGGCACTTCTCGAAGCTGTGCTATTTGCCTGGTGTTGTGCCCGTGTTCCGATCACAGGCGGTATCATCCTGACTACGACTCTGCAACAGGCCGTGGAATGACCTGCAGATACTTGTGTACTGTCCTGTTTCGGCGCTAGCAGGTCTGGACCATGATCCGCTTTGGATGCAGCAGGAAGTGCGACGAAGATCTGGCCTGCTTTCTTGCTGCGAAGCGTGATATAAGCAAATACCCGACTCTACTCAATGCAGATCTCCATCAAACTCAGACTTCACCTTCGACGGGCAGAATCGAAGCCCTGCAGTACTCGGGACGCTCAACAACGCTCAGCTGGAGCATCTGGTAGATTCCATAACGCCCTAAAAAGACTCTAGAAGACGTCCCCCCAGAGAGCACCTATTCAACAACATGAACAAGACAAAAAATGAGGGAACGCGACGGCGTGGCAGGCTGGGATCCGCAGGTCTTCGACCTCGAGCGTCGCCACGCTGTAGAGGCCAGAGGATGACAGGGTACAGGCGACTCAAAGCAGAAGCCGTAACAAGGAATGCACTAGGTATGCACAAGGTACGTACAAGGTATGTACAAGGTATGTACAGTATGTGTATGTATGACTGGTACACGACCCTTCGCCCTTTCTGCATCTTTCTGCTTTTCGTGGAAGGACATGCTCGGAGATCGAGATCCGTCCGCCTTCGGGTTGAGCCGCTGCTCAGCTGCAGAGAGCAAGACCCCACAAGTGTCAAGACGCGCCTTGCAAGTGGTTAGCACTGGCCGGATGATCAGACACGCCCTTTGTCCTTGGGCTCTTGAACACGCAGCAAGTGCTATAGACAGCCCAGCTGAGCATGTAAACAAGAACTTGCTTGTTCAGAGCAAAGTGAAGCAGCGCTTGAGGTTGGGTCAGGGTGGAAAGCAGACCAAGATGACTCCAAGATGACGTTTCACGTGGTGCGCGTGCCGGTTTGCTTGGCACGCGTCATGCTTCATGCAAAGAACATCGAGCACTTAATTGTGGTTCTCCGAATAAAGCCATGCTGCCCTGTGACACTGAGCTCTTTCATGTATGCCATGAGTGCAGCGTTGACAGGCTCGTCCGCAGCTTTTGTGACCATGACTACAACATCAGTCGTAGCATCGGCAGCCAGTCGTAGCATCGGCAAAACGCCTTTCTCGGTTGTTGGTGACATTTCAGTTCGCTGTGAACGTAGACCCAAGCCTCGTGCAAGCTCACTTTGCACGCCTCTGTTAACTGGACGTGTTGCCTAATCTGCACCTGATGGATTTCGACAACGAATCGTTGCTGAGATGCTTCTGCTCCGAAGAGGAAGAGCGGGACATAATAGCTTGGAACAAGGAGAACGGGCATGCGCGATCGGATGTCTTCGAGTTCAGTTCCTTGGCGTGAGATCAGATGAGGTGAAGAGATTCAGGAGCACATGCTACACCAAGAGGGCCCTAGGGTTTGCCTCCGGGTTTGCCACCGGGCTTGCGCCTCATGTGCAGTTGTGCTGACTCTTTGTTGGCTCAGTGTTGACTGATCTTTTTAGGACTCGAGGAAGCAGACAAGCTTCGAGAGGAGGGGAACGAACTCTTCAAGTCTGGGGATTTTGACACCGCCCGGCAGCGGTACTACGGAGCTGTGTGGCACCTGGACTTCGACATCGGACAGCAGTGGAATCTAATGGACCATCACCAGCTTGACCTGAACACAAGGCAGGTTTGCAAAGTGCGTGGGAGCATGTTGGACCGCTTTGAGTCGGTTTCGCCTCTGCTGAGCCGGAGGAAGCTGAAAGTCGTCAGCAACATCTGCGGCGCGTACCTGAAAGCCCAGGACTGGGTAAACACCAAGAGGGCCGCTGACATTGGTCTGCGGCACATGGAAAAGGCTGGCCTCACGGACAATGATGCCAAAGGAAAGTTCTTGTACAGAAAAGGCCGGGCACAGCTACGCAGTGTTTACAGAGGCTGGAGGCACCCTGTGGCACCCTGTGGATCCCTGCAGGTTTTGCAAATCTCCAACGTGGGTTTGCAGAGGACGCCGTCGAAGCCTTGAAGCAGGTCTGCGTGGGTGGTATTTCGAGGGGGGCTGCGGCATGTGGCGGAGTACGGGTCCATGTGAAAGCATGTCGGAATTTACCAAACTGTACATCCACAGAAGTAGGTAACCGGGTCAAGGGTCGTTGTGTCAGGCGGATAGCTTGATCCCTGGGGACCGGCAGCTGCGCTTGGCGCTCAAAGAGGCATCCGACCTTCAGAAGAAGGCGCCAAGGCAGCACGTGGACAGCTGTTTCTTCCCCGACCTTTTTGAACACGATGCCCAAGGATCGACAAAAGGCAAAGGAAGTTTGGAAAAGCAAGTGGCCGGACTGCAGGGTGGACAGGGTGGACAGGGTGGACACCGTTCTCGTGCAGAAAGGGCCCTGCACTTAGGCTCCTGTCAGAAGACGAGAAGGCCTGCCAGGCCACGGGAATCTGGGCTTCCATGAGCCATGAGCCGGCCTAGCGCTCCGCACGGCCTACATGCAGCGACATGCTCGCGGCTTGCAATTGACTTTGATCATTCACGTCAGGGCTCGTGGACGGAGCCAGCGGTGGCTTCAGCCCGCTTGAAGTTCACGCTGCGGCGCTGCTGTCGCAGATGGAAGAAGGACTGACACCTGACACAAGATTCAGGGAGTTTCGAGCGCCCCTCTGGAACTCATCGCAGTTTCGCTCTGCGATTTTCCGTGGGACTAAAGACCGGACTTCGCAATCAAAAGAGTACGGCCGGTACGGGGCACATCTGCATTCGTTGGCAGTAGTCATTTGTTTGTAAACCACAGCACCTCCGCCAAGGCTCTCAGGAGTGGATTGGACAGGGATTGGAGCAGCTGTCGAAGACTCACATGATACCAAAACCCTAAACCCCGAAGCAAGCCTGTGAGGGCTCTTCAAATCGACTCTGTCAACCTACGTGTGACTATATGGGGACACACGAACATTTGTGAAGTTCTTCTGTTGCCCTGGATGCCGACAGAACCTGCTTGCAAAGGCGGGTGTCCTGAAAATCTTCACATTCGTGGTGACATGCGCATCTGTTGAAAAATGCCTGCGCCGGTAGAGGCACGAGATGTTTTCCCCCGGAAGCAGCGATGTGGCTCTTCCGATGATGTTTGCACTGTGGTGTCTCGGCTTGATGCTTCAAGTGCCTCGCCGAGTAGAGCAGCAAAAGGTTCAGAAAGCTTAGGTTCTGCTGGGGCATCTGGCCCTCCGCACGGAAGCAAGGGGGTTCTGACAACGTGAACTTTGGATTGACGCACCATGGCGTGATGTGTTGCAGAACTCCTCAGCCCTTAGAGGTGTGCCTTCGCAGTATGTGATCTGGTTGCCTAACCGCATAGCTAGAACTCCGTTTTCTGATGCTCTTTTGGGGTCTTGACTTCGGATGTGGAAGGATGGCGGCTTGACCTTCACAGAGCATGTGCTAGAAACCAACAATCGATCACGTCTCCTTCCACTTGCCCAAAACTGTCTTGATAAAGAATGCTTCTGAGTTCATGCAACCATGGCACTGCGAAGTGTAAGCGTTGAAGCACGCAGCTTTTGGTCTGAGCTCCCGCCGAGGTACATCTTCTCCCAGATACTTGTATCCCTTCTCCTCTGCTTTACGCTTGGCATGGTAAACCCGGCAGATGTGAGGCACTTTGTGCGGGTCTCAGCCTGCTTGAAGAGGCTGTTGGCTTCTGGTTCTTTTGCTTGGCCCGTTTTAATCCCGAGGGTCAAATGTTTGGCACATGTCTGGCAGGATGAGGAGCTGTTCCCCCAGATGCTTTGGAAGGATCTCTCTGAGAGGCCCGCCTGCATTCCATCTTGTTAAAACGCCCTCGCTGTTTCCCCCCCTTCTCCCCTCTCCCCCTCCCCCCCTCCCCATCTCCCCCTCTCCCCCTCTCCCAGAGTTTGAGGGCTCCCAAGCCTCTGTCTCTTGTGTGTGTTCCACACACATGCACTGAGTGGTATTCCTTATGCAGCTGCCCATAGTTGCAGCAGGCTGCAGCCATGGCTGCAGTTATCGGGTGACCATAAGATGTTGAGGCGTCTGGTCCGGAAGTCCATGGAGACCTTAAGTTGATCCTTCGGGCGCTCAGGAAGTTTGCTGCAGTTCTCGTCGCCGTGCTGGCTGGCGTGTTGCTCTGCAGTGGAGACTTCGTCATGGCCAAGGCCATCGACGTGCTGCCTGGGTGCAAACTCTTAGAGGGCCCTCTCACATGCTGTTGAGTCGCGAGAGAAAAGAGTCGAGCACAAGCGCAGAAACTAAGCTTCAACGCCATTTCGGCCATCTTGTTCTGTTTCTTGAATTGCATGAGAGAAAAGTGTGTCTGCGTCTCTTTCTGGTTCATTTTTTGCTTATCTTAGGCTGGGCCTCGCAGTGGCATGCCCGATCGGCACCTGGTCCTGAGAAGTCTGTGACAGTGTCTGCACATTTTGCATACTCTGCGCGTTGCTGGCATTCTTTTCTCTCTGATTGTGCTCTGTGCCCAGTGATGTCCGTGTGCCTTTGAGAGAAGATCGGTGTGTCCTTGTCAGGTTTTGGTTTGGCCCTCACGTTCGGAACAGGTCTGAGCTACGCGATAGAGCCCAAGGCTGCGCCTAGGCAGAGTGCTACCGAGATAGGCGCCGCTTCGAGCCAGCCAAGCCGTTTCCAATCTCTGACAACCCAGGATCCCCGCTTGCTGTTTCCCGGGCTGGGAGCTTGCCTGCTTGGTATTCTCTGCGACTTGGTCCTGCTTGGGCTCCACAGATTTCTACGGCCCCCTAATTATTTTGACCTAATTGTGCTTTTTTGCGCTTTAACCTTTTCTTTTTTTGGTATACGGGTCTCCTAGTAAAATACAGAGGAAATAGAACTTTTCCTGTGCAAATACAAAGGAGCCTTTATTTCTTTTATATTTTATGAGGACCTAGGAGGTCTTCTATTTTCTTTGGATGTTAAGAGGACTACCTCCATTCTCTTGGATGTTTAATGGGAAAGCCTTTAGTTTTTTTGGCTTCTAGTCGGAAGACCTCTATTCTCTTTGGATTGTGATAGGAAAGCCTGTATTTTCTGTGGATTTGAACAGGAAGACCTCTATTTTCTTTGGATTTCCTCTCTATTGCAATAGGGAGCCAAAAAACAGGTTGAACCGCAAAAATAGGGTTAAAATAATTCCTCGACCGATCTCTACAGATACCGCAAGCTCTGATTGCCCTGTGCCAGCGCTCTGAAATCTGTTGAATTTGGGAGTCATGGAAGGAAGCTCGCTTCAGGTGATGCAGCCTCGCACGCGCAGTCACCCAAACAATCTGCAGGCAGCCGCCCGTAGCACGGGGTAGCGCTATGTTTTGCAGTGTCTAGTGTAGCCGTCCTGGGAGCAGTCACGCATGTTGACATCGTCTCTTTTGTCTTTCACATCTGTATGAGCGATTCGCGCGCAAGCTCCATTCACTTTTTTCCTTGGCAGATACGAGCTGTGTCAGCAGGATCTTCCCAGGACGATGCGAATGCATCCAAAGCCAAGGTTGGGAAGACCCGGGGTTGGGTTGAGAGCAGAGTGGTCCTTTCAGTGAGAGATGGTTTGTGGACTCTGCCCAGTCGCTGGGCAAGACCTCAGCTGCGACCGCGGACGAGGTGCCTTTTCAACTCGCCACTGGCCCGGCTCCTGCAGCCCCGATGAAGCCCCCAGGTTAAAGTTGTGGTCGCGCAGACCGACCAGAATGGCCACGATCGCTTCGTGTTCCTGTTGCCGATCGCAGGAGGCTTCGAGGCTGAGTCAAAGCTGGCTCCCAGTAATCTGCGCTGGAGTGTGTGTCAGTGACATGTTTGTTCCCGCGTCCAAGGTTTGCTCTGCGAGTCTTGGCAGCATGCCCTTTGTTGTTGGAGGATGCCCTTCCCAGCAACATGCCAGCAACCCACTTCCACGGAAGCAGTCGTGGAGTTTCTCCGAGGGAAGCATGGGACCAATCAACACCGCTGCTGCAACAGCTGGGCAGCTGCATCCCTTCAGCCAGTTCTTTTCCTTCATGCCGCTCGATGAGTGAACTTTGGATGATCTGCAGAGCAGTGATGGCCTTCAGGGCGACCCACTTGCACCAGGATGGGGCAGCTGGTTGCAATTTTCCCGCTAGCGATTGCCTCAGAGGGTCCCAGTGCCAAAGTTTCTTCAACATGGGCCAAAATCTGACTGAAAGGTGTCTGCCTTTCACTGGATATCCCTTGGAAGCGAGGGGCGCAGGAGTCGTTCATTCTGGTGCATTCCCTGCACGCTCTGGAGCAGCCACTTCACTGCAAGCACTGGAATTCCCGAGAATTCCCCGAACTCCCCAGCTTCGCATGTTCTCTCGCATGCTCTCGCATGCTCTCGCGCAAGGCTATCTCGGGGCATGCAAACAGCGTCGCAAGGCTCCGGAGCAGAGTTCGTGGACATTTCAACTTAGCGTGGCATAAGTTGGAGATTTTTGCGATGAGGCGATGTTGTGGGATGCCTTCGCCGGCACTTGTGTGGGCACGGGCTACTTCCTGTTCATGGTAGGCGCCGGGGCACAGTGGAGACACCAAAACCCTGAATTATGCTGAGCCCTACAACCCTAAACCCTTGAGACCCTACCATGAAAGCCTATGAAACTCTTCCCAAAGCCGTACGACTCTACACATCTCAAGTACATTCATGAGGCACACCGGTGGTCTCCAAAGCCGTGGGCTTCATTTTTGGATCCTCCAGCTTGCTCCTCTCGGTGCTCATGGGAGTGCTGGCCTTCAAGGAGAGACCCCCCCAACCCCTCCCCCCAACCCCCCCTTCCCCACCCACCCTAGAAGGCCCTAGAGGCCCCGTTTATCCCCAAATCATCCTGAAGGGGAACAGGAGTCTTTCCCCTCATTTTCTCCCCAGACTTTTCGAGGAGCTGAGTGGAGCCAGTGGCAGGCAAAAGGCGCTCTGTGGCTGCTGCGTGGCGTTTCTGGTCGCCGCGCTGGCCCTGATGTGTGTGGCCACTTGCCTCACATGACTTACAAGTATGCGTTCATTCTTAGGGGGGTAGGGGGGGGGGGTGTTGCTTTGTCAAAGAGCTTGACATGTCTTGACCGCTTGCTTTGGCAGAAGTCACGTAAGATGTCGTGGTATCGAGGCTTCAGTGTGACAGCCGCTTACACCCCACGATTTTCAGCGAAGCGCGCGCCTGCTGATTGCGTGGCTTGCGCTTGCGCTCTGTTCCGCTACAAAAACGCGCTTATTGAGTCTATCGAGTGCCTCCTGGGGGGGGGGGGGGGGGGGGCGGGGGACAGCTCGCGTGCAATTGGATTGAGGCCCTGCCGGGAGATATCTGAGCTGAACTTGCTCACTCCTCTGCAGCGTTTGAGCTCGGCTCCCGTTGTGATAGGGACCGGTCCGTGGTGCCACCAAGGTCGCACATCCCGTAAACCGTGAAGCCCATAAACTGAAACGGAACCTTAAACCCTGGGCTTATAAACCCTTCTGGATAGTGGGTGGAAAGTGGTGCTCAACAAAACTTTGGAGAACCCTAAACCCTAAACCCTAACCCCGAAACCCGAAACCCTGAACCCAAAATGTCATGAACCCCAAGCCCGAACCCAATAACTTCTAAACCCTGCCCGAGGAAGCCGGGCTCCGAAATCCGGGGGTCCAAGACTCAACATGGGTTTACGTTTTATTTTGTGCTTCAGGACTGAGGGGGTTAAGGGGTTGACGTGGTGTTTAGGGCTTCGGACTGAGGGGTTTCGGGTTTAGGGTCTCCACAAAGCCCGAACCGGTTGATGTGTCTCGGCTCAACAAGTTACTGGTAGGAAGCGCCCAGCCCTGAGAGTGCCATGTGTACAGCAAACTGGAGGCCGGTAGGGTTCAGGAATTGGGGTTCAGGGTTGAGGGTTTGGGGCGATGCTTTCGGACTTTTACATGTTTTCTGCAGGGGTTCTAGGGTGCATGGCAGTTTGGATTCTGTGATTCAGGTCTTCGACGGTCTTCGTGGTCTCGGGCTTGCGGTTGGGCGTTAGTTTCAGGTACGGTCTGTAGGGTTTACTTAGAGGTCTTCCAAAGCTTTCAAGCCGCTTCGGGTTAAGGGCTAGTTGAAGTGGCTTGGGGTGTCTGAAGATTGTTAAGAGGCCCTCCCACGGGCTCAGGATTTTCGGAATAGTCTGCTTGCTTCAGGGCCGATTCAGGGTTCGTGTAGCCTCTCTGAAGCTTTTTGGGCTTTACGGCGCCGGGGTTAGTGTCTGCTAAGCCCGAAGCCCAAAACCCCCCAGAATCCTAGATCCTCTTAAACGCGCAACCCAAGGTTCTTGAGCCCCAACATCCTGCCTGGAGCTACCAAAATCTACTTTTTAGTGGGTCCCCCGAGTCTAATCGGCGGAACCTACGAATTTGTAGGTTAATTGAGTGAACCCTAAACCCTTGTCGACTCTGCACCCGACGTCCGAGCTTAGGGTCTGAGGAGCTAGTGGGGCTAAGGGTTTCCAAAAGCCTTTGTTCGTACAATTTAGAGGCCATATTCTAATGATTGAGGCCCCCCCCCACACTAGGTTTAGAACATTGGTCATCAGGAACTGGCATGCAGTAACATGCTTTAGGTTGTTTTTGCGTTTTTGGTTTGTGTTCAAGTTTAAGCTTAAGGATGTAGGGTTTTAGAGTTTAGGGTTAAACGGGTTTAAGGTTGAAAGCTTTAGAGGCAAGGGATGTCTCGTCTGTAGAACATCTTGAGAAATCGGGTAATCTAGAAGCCTGAAGGATGAGCAAGAAGGTTCCTTACGGTTTCCTATCGCAATCATAATCGTACAAGTATCCCCCAACCTGTTCGAATTGGTAAGGCCCCTCTGTTACCTTCAAGACTGAACCCTATCAACCCTGGGAAGAGCAACGAGCCGCCTCCTGTGAACCCTTGCAATCATCCTCTAGGCGGACAGCCTACCCCAATTTTGAAAGTCCGTCGCAGCTCTGCAATTTTAACGCTACTCGACCCGCCTCGGCCTGGCCGGGGAGGGCGTGGGGGGGGGGGGGGGGGGAGTGGGGGGGCTTTGGGGGGTTGGGGGGGGGGCGGGGGGTGTGGGGGGGTGGGGGGGGGGGGGGGGGGGGGGGGGGGGGGGGGGGAGGTGGAGTGGCCTCAGTGGTCCTGATGCACGGTCGCCTTCCGCACAGCACTGCCTAGAAAGGGTACCCATTTCAAGAATCTGTAGCTTCAAACCCAGCATGGAAATCATATTCCTGGCGGTCTCGCGTCTACCTCACTTGTAGCTTATATTTACAGCATTTAGTGGCATTCCTGCCGAATTGGCTCTATTGTTCCTACTTCAGTTGTAGTTGCAATATTTCCTACCAGTGAGAATGGCACCACATGATTGACCACCACTGTACTGCCTCAAGATGTTTGCGAACAACACCCTTCAACCCCCCACACCTGGACTGCTAGGGTTTAGGATTTGAGTCATCCAGGGCTATTGGGATTGAGGCTGCCGTCTTGACCCCTAAGCCACAAAAAAATCCAAAGCGGCCGTGTTCCCCGGAATTATGCCCGAAGCTTTGCAAACGTTCTGCGCTCTTGCAGTTTCGTGAGAAGTTGTTTGCTGGTATTTCTAAGGGCAGCATAGCGCCCCTAAGCCCTCATCAATGCGGTACAGGGCAGTCTTCTTGTGCCTGCTCCTCATCAGCTGCCGGGCAGCGCAGGAAGATCTGTGCGAAGGAGATGGCTCATCTTCCCTGCAGGTCACACGCTCGACCAAACATGAGGGTTTAGGGTTTCATATTTGGGTCCCCATGGGCCCCCTTTTTCCTAGAACTGCCAGATCTCACGTGTTGAGGCTTTAGGGTTTGGGGCTTCGGGTGTCGGATGTGAGGGTGGTTTAGGGTGCCGGATCCACGAGATCGGGTCTAGATAATGGGGTATCTAGCTTGGTGTCATCATTTTCATGGTTGTGGCTAACATTTGAACCACCTAGAACCCTAAACCTGAACCCTCTGAAGCTCAGGTGAAGCATCAAGCAGCCGTGGACTCCGCCCGCGTCAGGCCTCGTCGACCCTTTCGCCGCTGGTTTTGGCGTCGCAGAAGAGGCCAGCACAGCACGACACCGGCGAGGTCAACCGAATCACCTACGACACACACAATGGTGTGGCAACCTACAACACCGGCGAGGTCAACCGAATCACCTACGACAAACACAATGGTGTGGCAACCTACGACACCGGCGAGGTCAACCGAATCACCTACGACACACACAATGGTGTGGCAACCTACAACACCGGCGAGGTCAACCGAATCACCTACGACAAACACAATGGTGTGGCAACCTACGACACCGGCGAGGTTAACCGAATCACCAACGACACACACAATGGTGTGGCAACCTACGACACCGGCGAGGTCAACCGAATCACCAACGACACACACAATGGTGTGGCAACCTACAACACCGGCGAGGTCAACCGAATCACCAACGACACACACAATGGTGTGGCAGCCTACGACACCGGCGTGGTCAACCGAACCACCTACGACACCACCATAAAGACTCGAAGCCCGGACCTATTCTAAGACTGCATTCAAAAAAAGGGAGCCCTCCTCTTCGAGATGTTTCGGATTTCGGGGTGCGGCTGGTGATGAGTGCAAGACCCTAAACCCTAGGTTAGGGCAAAGGGCTTCAGGGGTTTAGGGCTTTGGGGGTTTATGCAAGAATTCAGCAGGGCGACATACAATGTTAATCTCAAGTTCAAGCATTGCGCCGTTTGCGCGCTGCTCTTGTCAACTTTGTACACCGGTTCCAGACCGCAACAGGAGCACGTAATGGAACAGGGCAATGCAGTGCCTGTACTGGTGCAAAAGTGATGGTGGCGTAATCTGCACCAGTAAACACCTTATGCAAAAGCTCAGGTGGTGGTTGCCGAATATCCTTTGGCACAATGCACGTTGAAGCCACCGGCGCGTTATATGCAGAAAGTTGAAGAGCCCGACGTCGCTTGTTCCTACTATCAAATTCAAGCCATTTACATGCGTCTTTAAACGAGTGCAAGAAAACAGTAGCTTGTTTACCAGGCGATGGTCTGCTCAGGGCCAAAAAATGGGGCAATCAGTTTCGCTGCGGCTGGAAACCAAATCCTTCATCTACGTAGACCGTTTCGATGACTGCATTCGAAGACACAGCAAGATCTGCGCAAGCTGCTTGTTCAAGAACCGGTCTTTGACCATGCGACCGAAAGGTCCGCTGAACAATGCTTTCTTGCAGTGAAAAAAACACATATTCCGCATAAGCCTGTCGAGTTTTTTGATTGAACAACGTCGGCTACCTTGTGCGGCAGCTCACGATGCAGGTGGCGCTGGTCTCGTATTTGTTTGGGACGTAGCTAGGGTCTTAAGACGACCTTTTTTTTGGGTTCGCCTGGATTTCTTCATATAGTCCTTTATTTTAGCGTCTTAAAAAAGTAAACTTTAAATGCGCGCAAAGTGTTTCTAAGTGCCATGAAGGTATGGCATATGATACAGAGCCCTGTAAACCGCTCAGACCAACAACCCTGAAACCGTGCAAGAACATCCCGACCCTAAATTTCAAGCCCACAAATGCCATAAATCCTACACCCTCACCCCGTCACCCCCTCCCCCCTTGCCCCCCCCCCTCCCCCCCCCCCCCTCCCCCCCCCCTCCCCCCCCCCCTCCCCCCCCCCATCCCCCCCCCCCCCCCAAAAAAAAGAAGGAATCCAAAGACGTTGGCTCTGGAGAGCTTCAACAGCCTGGCCGTGACGGGCCTGGTCGGAGATGGGGAGGGGCGCAGAATGTGGATCGTGAACGACAACGAAGGTTACCAGGCGTACAGCTGGGAAACCCAGCTGATATCTTTGAGCGCGCCCCTCGACTAGGGTGCGGCCCAGTTTCTCACCACCAAAACATCAGCAGGACTTCAGTACAGACGTAGATTTGACCTACGCAAAGCCGGGTTTTGTCATTTCCATATTCAGTCCTCAGCCTCCTAATCACGTAGCAGTTCCAGTAGTAGCAATGTGGCCACCTTGTTTTATTGATCGCAACATGGCAGCGAACACACCGTACTGTTCGTTGCTACTGATGTTAATTAAACTAGTTGACAACAGCTTGAGTCGATTGCCACAGAAATAAATACCTTCAGTGGTGTCAGTACTGCTGCTTCTGCCTGCTGCTTCTGCCTGCTGCTTCTGCCTCCTGCTGCTGCTGCTGCTGCTGCTGCTGCTGCTGCTGCTGCTGCTGCTGCTGCTTCGTATTGAGGGTGTCAGCAAGGACGATGGCGTGACCATGGTGATGTCATTTGTGATTAATGTGGTTATTGTGAAACTCCCGAT